GTCCTGGGGTGGGGTGGGCCGCCTGTGCCGCACCCCATCCCCGTGACAAGCGGAGGAGCCCCCCAAATGAGGGCTGGGAGCTGACCCCAGGGAGAGCACAGCACACTGCGCCCAGGGCAGCCCTCCCCCCTTGTGTGTGTGTGGGGGGTGGGCAGGAGAGGATCGGTCAGCTTCTGCATACGTGTCCGTCCGCGCCCCGCGTCCCGTGATGCCGGCACCGGCCCAGACAGATGCCATCCAGCTGTGCCTGCAGGGACCACCCACAGGGACAGCTCCTTCCTCAGGAATGCACCCTCCTGCCTGTGCGCCCCGTCCTGCCTCAGGCCAGACCCCCGCCTACCGCCTCCTCCTGGCCTGACACCTGGAAGCCGGCTTCCTCCCACCGTCCCCCCAGGCCGAGGTCACCTGGGTGCCCCTCCAGCCCTCGCGTCCACCCATCGCTCCCCCTTCCTAACCACCCCTGCCCGCCCACCCTCCCCCGGAACCTCCCACTTGTCTCCCCATACTGGCTTCTGTGACTGGTCAGGGCCCCAGTCCCCCCAGGTCAGGGCCACTGTCCTAAGGAGGTGACTATGCATGTTCACTGGAGGCAGAGGGTGCCCCAGTCTCCCCTCCATTTCCCTGCCAGCCCGGATCGTTCTGGAAGCCCAGAAGTACATCTACACCCAGCCCTCCCAGCGTGCCCGGCCCCGCCGAGTGGGGACCCACAGGCTGTGGGGAGAGCTTGGGTGGCCCGTGCTGGGCTTGTCTCCCTGGACCCCTCCAGGCCTGCAGCTCCGGGGACAGCTGTGTCCCCGCTGCCTCGTCCTGTCACCCAGAAGGCAGAGGCCACCTCAGCGCTGGCCCCCCAGCTCTCCTGGGATGCAGTGACCTGACCCACAGGGCCCAAACCTTTCCCCAAAACTGCCAGGACCTCCCCCCTTGAAACTGACCTACAGGTGAGGGTAGCGAAGAACCAGACAAGTCTTGCCTTGTCATTTTTTTAAAATATATTTTTATTGATTTCAGAGGGAGAAAGAGAAACATCAACGATGAGAGAGAATCCTGGGTCGGCTGCCTCCTGCACGCCCCACACTGGGGATGGAGCCTGCAACCCGGGCATGTGCCCTGATCAGGAACCAAACTGTGACCTCCTGGTTCATAGGCCGCCGCTCAACCCCTGAGCCACGCCAGCCGGGCCCAGACATGCTCCTGTTAGAGGCAGCCCCTGCCCCAAGACCTCCCCTCCCTTGCTCAGAGGTGGAGGAGAGCAGGAGGAACCGGCACATACAGTATGGACACCAGTGTGGGTGAGCCTTTAGGGGAGACAGGCCCAGCTGGCAAACCTCACCGGAACCTTAAGGGGCCCCAAAAGAAAGGCAGGCCCCTGCTGTGAGGGGTCAAAGGGTGCTGAAGAGGCTGCTGGGCGGCAGGAGCAAGGCTGAGGCCGAGGGCGTGTCGGGAGCTCCTGGAGCCTCAAGAGCACAAGTGTGTTCCTCTGGGCCCCTGGCTGCCGCCTCCAGGCAGGCCTCCCTCCCTGCCTGGGACACAGCCGAGGCCAGTGCCCTCCATCAGGGCAGCGGGGCCCTGAGCTCTGACCTCCCCCCGCCCCTCCCGGGACATGTCCTTCCTGGCCCTAGCCTGGGTTTAGGAAGCAGTTCATCCCTCAGGAGCTCCAACGAGGCCTGGTGAGCTGCCGCTGGGAGCACAGGGGCTGGCCAGGCTTCCCAGTGCTCGCTGCTCCCGTGGCCCCAACGTGGAGGGGATCTGAGTCCCCCGGCCCGAGTTCTAGAAGCACCTGACCTGACGTTACTTCCCACCCAACAGCGGGAGGGATTCAAGGGCTGCTCTGGCTGCTGTGAGGCCGGAGCTGAACCGTCCTCAGCAATCCCGACCCAGGACCTGCTCACAACTCCCAGCAACACCTTCCTCGGAGGCCCCTCACTCCCACCCCCACCCCCACCCCCCACCCCACCTCCGCCCCCGGGCTCTAGGGGACCTGACCGCAGGAAGAGGGCCTTCCCTATCTGCTTGCACTGGGCCCATGGGGGCAAGGGGCCTAGAGCCAGAGCCTCAGGAAGACGGGGAGGGGACCTTGGGTAGCAGCTCAGGACTTGCCTGGGAGACCGAGGCAGGGAGGGGGCTCAGGTCCTGGGCTCAGGCTATTCTTGGAGCCTGAGTCAGCACGAGCGAGCGAGCGGGAGGCAGAGGGTTGCTGCCCTGCCTGTCCAGGCAGCAGCTACGAACCAAATGGGGACACGACGCCCCAGGCTGCCCTCCTCCCAGAATCCAGAGTAAACACGAAGGTGGCTCCTCAGGGAGCCCTCGGCCCCTCTTGGTCCATCCGGGGACCAGGCACCAGAGGGTGACGGCAGGGGCTTCCGCCTGGGCACCCGAGTCCCGGGGGCCTCCCTCAGGGCAGAGGCTGGGTGTGCAGTTGCTGTGGACGCCCTGCTCACGCCAGACATTCTGGCCAGGAGCACCCCACGTGGCTAAGTGGGAACATCTGGCCTCATCTGCCTGAGGCAGCAAAGGCTTCCAGCCCACACTGGCCCCCCGCTGGGGACACGCAGCCTGTGGGGAAGCGGAAGGCCCCCGCCGCTGCCCAGTGGACCCCATGCAGAGCCAGACACACGCAGCTCTCACAGGGCTTTATTGGTGGGGAAGGACTGAGGAGCTGTGGCGGCACGTTCCTGGTGGGGGCCCGGGCGCCGGCCCGCCCTCCTGCCGACAGGCTTCCTGCCTAGAAGCGCAGCCAGAACATGCCGCTGCGGGTCCGGTTGTAGTCGGGGAGCTGCTCAATGGGGCCTGTAGGGATGGGCGGTGTCAGGGCGGGGCGCCTGGCTGGTACAGGGACACCTGGCCCTGCGCCGCACCCAGTTCGGGGCTGCCCAGAGCGGCACAGGCAGGCTCTGGGGGAAGAGGGGAGAACATCCCGGGGCGCCGAGCCTGTCCCTTCACGCTCGGCTCCGAGCCCCACCCGCGGTGTCCGTTACCTGGTGGGTGTCGGGCACTGATGGAGGCACCTTGGCAGGGAGTCAGGGAGTTGCTGGGACAGGTTTTCTGAGCAAGAACTCCCTGGCAGCCAGACTCTGGGCAGAGCCTCTCGGGGCCTCTGGCTGCTCCCAGTGCAGGCTGGGGTGGGGGTGAGGGTGGGGGTGGGGGGCGCAGGAAGGGCCCAGGGAGGACAGAGAGCAGGCGGGCAGGTGACTCACCCACTGCAGCCACCGCGGGGCACTGGTCATAGAAGTACTTGGAGCAGACCTCACGCACTGTCTGGGCATCGACCTCCTGCAGCGAACGGGCACCCTGACTGACGGGCACTGGGCACGGACCTCGGCGCTGCCCCCAGCCCCAAAGGGGAGGGCAGCAGGGCTCGTCCACCCCACAGCCAGGCCTCCGCCTGCCCCTTCCCTCCAGACACGCCAGCCCCGCGGGGACGGTGCCTCTGCCCAGACCCAGGGGGCTGCACGTCAGGCCTCGCTGCCCGTGGAAGAGTCAGCCAGGTCCACACTCCAGACCCGCCCCCGGGCCCGTACCGCGATCCTGCTTTCCCACTCGGCCAGGGGGATGCGGCGGCCGTAGGTGAGGAGGCTGCGTCCGATGTCCTCACACACAGGAGTGGTGCCTGCGAGGGGGAGAGGGAGGGGGAGGCTCCAGGTCCACCCCGTCCATCCGGGACCAGGCACACGCCCACTCCAGCTGCTGGCTGACCCCTGAACCCTTGTCTGACCCAGCTTGCCACCTCACTCTACAACCGCCTGTCGCTGTGCTAATGGCCGCCCCTGGCCCGCCCCCCTGTATCTGGAGCCCCGGCTGCTGTGGGCTATGGTGCGACCTAGTTTCCCTCCAGTCTCGGGTAGGAATGGGCCACCCTGGGGCTGTCCCCCCCCCGCCAGGAAGCCGCCCCGCGGGCGCAGGGCTCACCGTCCAGGTGGGACACGAGGGCGTTCCTGAGCTGGTTCCTGCCCCGGCGCACGTCGCTCTCCGTGGCGCTGGTGCACAGGCGCATCCTAACGGGGGGCGGGGTCACTGAGAGGTGCTGTCTCAGCCCCCCCTCCTGCTCCCAGGCCCCCACCCAGCACCGCACTCACCACTGGCCTTGCAGGAAGAACACCATGTCGTCGATGCTCATGCGGTCGCAGACAAAGTGCGCGCCCAGCAGGCCCGTCTCCGCGTAGCAGATGTTGAAGGTCTGGAAGCTCTGGCACAGCTTGTTGGCCACGGCGACAGAAGCCAGCGGGCTGGACAGGTGCTGCAGGCCAAGGCGGTCAGCAGCACCCCCCACAGGGCCGTGCAGCCCGTCCCAGACCCTCTTCTCCGAGACCAGGCCCCACGCCCACCGGCACTCACCATGCCGCCGCCGTACGTGCAGTCATAGTGGCCGATCATGGCGTTGGCCACTTGGAGGGCCACGTTGTCCGGGTTGGCCCAGCCAGGCCCCTCCACGGCAATGGCCACATGGGCCAAAGGCAGGGCATCGTCACGGTGGGAAATCTGAAACGGGCACGGCAAGACTGAGGGACGCCCGACGGCCCAGGCGACCAAGGGTGCCAGGGGGCTGAGGGGGGCGCAAGTGTGAGCATGTGCTTGTGAGGCAGCCCCAGGCCCTTCCCTCCATGAGGGTCCCTCCTCCCAGGGGCCCGGGCGAGAGCACGGCCCTGCCCACCAGGCAGCCTACCTGGCTGCCAGTGAAGCGGCACGGAGCGAGCGTGGGCACAGCGTCCTCGGCGTACGTCCCAGAGATGCCGCTGAAGTGCTTCTGGGCGAGGTCCAGCAGCTGCCGGTGCTCCACCCCTGCGAGACAGTGTGTCACCGGCCGCCAGGCGCGGGCACAAGGCTGGACAGCGTGTCACCGGCCGCCAGGCGCGGGCACAGGGCCGGACAGCGTGTCACCGGCAGCCAGGCGCGGGCACAAGGCTGGACAGCATGTCACCGGCCACCAGGCGCGGGCACAAGGCCGGACAGCATGTCACCGGCCGCCAGGCGCGGGCACAAGGCTGGACAGCGTGTCACCGGCCGCCAGGCGCGGGCACAGGGCCGGACAGCGTGTCACCGGCCGCCAGGCACAGACACAGGGCCTGACAGCGTGTCACCAGCGGCCAGGCGCGGGCACAAGGCTGGACAGCGTGTCACCGGCCGCCAGGCGCGGGCACAGGGCCGGACAGCGTGTCACCGGCCGCCAGGCGCGGGCACAAGGCTGGACAGCATGTCACCGGCCACCAGGCGCGGGCACAAGGCCGGACAGCGTGTCACCAGCCGCCTGGCGCGGGCACAGGACCGGGGAGACAGCAAAACGTGACATGGGACAGGGTGAGGGAAGATCCCCGCGGACGGGCTCTGCCTTGGGCAGGGTGGGCACCTCAGGATGGCGCAGCACGGCGCACAGCACCAAAGGAAAGCTGAGCCTAAAATCGGTCCTTGTGGTGCCTTCGCACCTGCACCGAGGACGAGACGGGCTCCAGGGCACAAGCCACCTGCCCTGCCTTGTGCCCCTCGCCGTCCCCTCACACAGACCCTGGTGCTGCCCTGGGCGGGTGGCAAGCGACAAGCACACAGAGGCGGTGCTGCAGTGCGTGACTAGCTCTGGGGTCCCCGGGCTGGAGCACTTCCTGGTACGTTACAAACCCATGCCCGTGGGGCCTGCTGGGTCCCCCTCCAAGAGGAGGCCCTGCTGTCAGCGCCTCAGCACCGGGCGGGCAGCCTCCCCGATAGCGCACAGCCTCCAGCAGCTGCCTCCCCTTCCTCCCTGAGCTCAGGTTCCACTGGACTCGGCCAGGTCTGGCCCGCCAACAGCTTCCACTGCGCTTGGTCCCCAGGTTCCCGGGCCCGAAGCCATCAACAGGCTCTGTCAGCCTTCCGTGCACCCCGCTGAGAAGACCACAGCTGGGGGGGCGTCCCTGACCCTCACCCGTCCCTGCCCGCCCAGGCCTCCATCAGTTTCCATCTGCACCACCATGGCGGTCCATCTGCTTCTCGCCCTGGCTCCCGCCACCTCCCAGCGGCACCGGGACAGCCCCTCCCTGGTCTGCCGGCCTCTGCGCTGGCCCCAATGGCGGCAGGACAAGCCTACACCACACATGACGCTGCCCAGCCCTCTGCTAGGCGCCCCCTCCCGCCATTCTTCAGGCCTCTGCTCAGACAGCACCGGCTCCCAAAGCAGCCCAGCCTCCAGCTCTGAGTCCCCACAACCCGCCTTCCTTCCCAGGCACCTCCCCGCTGCCTCCAGATGCCACCACCGCGTGCGGGGCCGTGAGGCTGGCCCTCCCACCAGCCTTCGGACTGGACAGGCCACAGCCCGCGGAGGCCTGTGCTGAGGCGGCGCGGCGCCGTGTGGCGGGCCCAGTGGCGGCCCAGGCAGAATCCTACTCCATCTCAGAGACGGACGGAGGCTGCTCCCCTGGGGGCGGGGAGGACGACGGGGCCCCCAGGAGTGGAAGATGACCCCCATTCAGAACAGGAGACCTGGGGTCCCCGGGCTGGAGCACTGATGACCAAGGCCGGGCCGACCCACCACTGCCAGAGGGCTTCGCCGAGCTCAGCACTCACCTCCCGCCGCCGCCAGCACCATGCGAGGGGCCTTGTAATGCTGGCCCAGGAACTCGGTCAGGTCGGCACGAGACAGCTTCCTGCAAGACACACGGCCAGGGCTCAGCGCCTCCCCCAACCCCGCGACTTGGGTCACACAAAGGGGGCTGAGGAGCAGCCAAGGTGACAGCTTCTCACGGCTCGATCCCTCCCCCACCCCTGCCCCCTGCCCCCCACCCCTCCGGGGCCCAGAGGGCAGCCCTTGCCTGGCCCAACTCACACCTGACCTCAGGACAGGCTCAGAGGCCTCGGTGAGGAGGGTGCGCTGACCCTGTGGGCTCACGGGGCAGCACAGAGCTCTCCCACCACAGGACGGAAGCCCACAGACGGGGCACCCACACACTCCCTCCCTCGGGCTGTCAGGGCAGGAAACGTCCTGCAGTAAAGGCCGGATTCCAGCAGAGAGCGCACGGGAACAGAAGAGGCACAGGCCGCACAGGCAGGCAGCCAGGCCAGAGGGTAGGGACGTCCGCCACGGGCCCAGCCGGCTCCCACCTGACGTTGTCACTGGGCCCCTCCACGGGCTGGGCGAGCGGCGTGCCCTGGAAGGCGGTGGCGTGCAGGTAGTCGAAGACCACATCCCGCAGGGACGCGTCGCTCTCCTGCAGCTCCCGCAGGATCACGTCCCGCTCCTTCTCGATCTGCGAGTCCTCCAGGCTGCAGTTCTGCACGACGTCCGCCAGCAGCTCCACAGCTGGGGAAGGACAGGGTGGGCACGGGTGGGCCACTGGAGACCACAGCAGCACACAGCCCCAGGCCTGGCCCCCGGCTGCCCTGTTGCCAGGCCACACTCCAGGGCAGCCCCGTTCTGCGGCCAGGCCAGGGGCTCCTGGTGCCGGTCCCTGCATCTTTGAAGGGCCCTTTCCGCCCACCACCCCGAGGCGCTACCTTTCGGCAGGTCCTGGGACAGCGCCTTGATGTAGTAAGCAGTGTGCTCCCGGGTGGTGTAGGCACTCAGATGGGCCCCCATGCTCTCCACCTCCTTCTCCAAGGCATTGCCAGGCCGGTTCTTTGTTCCCTGAGCCGGACACCAACAGCACCGTCAGGAGCCGCCTGAGCGCCCAGGACCCCCAGCTCCGCAGACTGAAGTCGCAGCAGCAGCAGTGCCTTCGGCAAGGAGCACGGGGAGGCAGGGCCCAGGACTGTGCCTCCAGCACTAAGCCGGTCACGGCAACAGCATGGAGACAGCCAGGGGCCAGGAAGGAAGGGCGGGGCCCAAGCGAGTGTCCTGAACCCAGAGCGCCCCTCAGCCTGGCCTACAGCACCCCGTGCCCTACAACAGGCAGGCCCAGGTTAGCTCACACCTGCGTCAGGCGAGCCTGCCACCACCTACTCCCCACCATTCATAGGACTGTGCAGTGGCCTGTCCTGTGTGTGTGTGTGAACATCTGCACAGCTCTGGGCGGGCAGCTCAGTCGGTTAGAGCTTCGTCCCGATACACCAAGGTTGTGGGTTTGATTCCCAATCAGGGAACACACAGGAGGCAACCGATCGCCATTTCTCTTATCCATGTTTCTCTCTAAAATCAATAAAAACATATCCTCAGATGAGAACAAAAAAAATCAACCAATAATGATATAAATAAAAGGAACAACATAATTGGTATCTTTCTCTCAAATCAAGAAATAAAAGAGCCCTGGCTGGTGTGGCTCTGTGGATGGAGCGTGGCCTGCGGACTGAGGGGTGCCGGGTTTGCTGCCGGTCAAGGGCACAAGCCTGGGTTGTAGAGTCCATCCCCAGTAGGGGGTGTGCAGGAGGCAGCTGATTGATGTTTCTCTCTCATTGATGTTTCTAGCTCTCTATCCCTCTCCCTTCCTCTCTGTAAAAAATTCATAAAATATGTGTAAAAAAAAAAAATCTATGCCTAAGTCAGCTGTTCAGTGGTTAGAGCACTGGCCCGCAGACCGAAGTCCTTGGGCTTGATCCTCGGTCAAGGGCACATATCCCTGGGTTGCAGGTTCGATCCCCAGCCTGACTGAGTCACATACGGGAGGCAACCAATTGATGTGTCTCTCTCACATTGATGTTCTCTCTCTCCCCCGCCCACTTCCCTTCCTCCCTCCCACTCCTTTCTGAAAATCCATTGGAAAAAACACCCTCCGAGGAGGATTAACAAAAAAGATCCCCACACAACTGTGCCGGTGCAGCTGGCTAGCTGCCCATCCCCCGTCTCCTCCTCCATCTTTCCACTCATTTAAGAACGTCAGTCTCTCCTCTGTGCCACCATGGGCTGGCTGAGGGCTGCAGTGGGGACTGTCCCACCCTCGAGAGAACCGGAGACGCCCAGGGAGCCCACAGGGCAGAGCACCGCACGGAACGCTTGCTCAGCCCAGCCCGGGGTGCTGCTCCGCATCGGGACATGCACACCCAGGCCCGGCCTCGGGGTGAGGAGTGGGCCCCTGCGGCTCCTGAGGGCCTTTGGCTCTGGGGCCTGTGCAGGGCTCACCAGACAGGTGCGCACAGGAGGCTCTTTCCAAAAGGCCAGCCAGAGGCTGCCCCAGCTGCAGCCCTAACTGGGGAGGCGGCTTCCCGGGAGGGACAGCGTGAAGCCCGGGGCCGGGGGAGGCGGGACCGCGGGAGCTCACCTTGAAAGCCAGATGCTCCACAAAGTAGCCCGCCCCGTTGTTCTTCTCGTTCTCGTACCGGCTGCCAACGTCAATCCACACCCCGACCTGGACAAGAAGGAACAAACCGCTCCAGCCCCACGTACACCCCCCCCAGGGTGACAGCAAAGCCCAGGACCCCCACCCTCACAGGCTCAAGTTGAGGCTCACAGTCCCAGAGTGGGGACCGCTGTCTCCAAGCAGGACCACTGTGCCTGGAGGTGCCCAGAGCGCCCACGGCCGAAAGACCAGCCACGCTGCATCACCTCCCCCTCCTGTGCTTCTGCCTGGTCAGCAGGGCTCCCACAGCCGTCCCTAACGGCCCCGGCACCCGGTCCTGTCACTATAGGAAACGCTGAGGCTCGCTCTTGACTTTCAGGGGATTGTTTTCTAGGAAGCAGCACATCTGCAAACAACCCACTTTCTCTTTCCTAACAATGACCCTCTGCCCGCGGAGCTCCTCCTTTCACTGATAAGGAAGGAGGCCGCCGGCCAGACGCTGGGCGTTTATATGGAGGAAGTACCTTCATTCACACTGAACAGAAGTTTTAATCAGGCCTGAGCACTGAACACGCCGTGTCCCTGACGCCCAATGAGAGGCTCTTACAATGTCCCGAGTAGCCTCCTGCGCTGGAAACAAACCGCACCACTCCCCCCACAGGTCACAGGTTTAGTCTTTTAATTTACTATTCGCTCAGAGTTGATTTAAATTACATCCTGCCCTAGCTGGTATGCTCAGTGGATAGAGCGTCAGCCTGCAGACTGAAGGGTCCCGACTCCTTCCGGTCAAGGGCACATGCCTGGGATCAGGGCTCGGTTCCCACTAGGGGGCAGCGTGCAGGAGGCAGCCAATCAATGATTCTCATCATTGATGTTTCTATCTCTTTCTTCCTTCCTCACTTAAGTCAATAAAAATATATTTCAAAAAAATTCTCTCTACTTTCCTGAGATATTGATGTACAACCATATGTCATAAATTCTTAGATGAACATCTATTTCACTTGACATCTTGGAAAGATGCATTTTAAAGTCCGTGGTATCCTTTGACTGTAACTGCAGCACCCTCTCTCTGGCTTTCTCCTTACAATCTGGAGCAGTGGTTCTCCACCTTGGCTGCACATTAGAATCACCTGGGAATCTTTCTGAAATCCTGATTTCTGGGCCTCATCCTCTGGAAATTCTGTTTCTTTGTGACTAATGTTGTGGCCCCACCCCATAACAAAGAAACAGAATTTCCGGAGGATGAGGCCCAGAAATCAGGATTTTAAAAAGATTCCCAGGTATGGGGGGGATGAGGACACATTTGTAATACCTTAATAAAGAATTTTATTTATTTATTATTTTTTAAAAATATATTTTATTGATTTTTTACAGAGAGGAAGGGAGAGAGATAGAGAGTCAGAAACACCGATGAGAGAGAAACATCGATCAGCCGCCTCCTGCACATCTCCCACTGGGGATGTGCCCGTAACCCAGGTACATGCCCCTGACCGGAATTGAACCTGGGACCCTTGAGTCCGCAGGCCGACGCTCTATCCACTGAGCCAAACCGGTTTCAGCAATAAAGAATTAAAAAAAAAAAAAAAAAAAAGATTCCCAGGTGATTCTAATGTGCAGCCAAGGTTGAGAACCACTGATCTAGAGCATCTTCTAGCACGTGAAATACTAGGTGTACCAGTTAATAATGCAGACTTTTTTCAATAGATGGAGTTACACATATGATGATACATATGTGATTTGATATGTCTGCTATTTTGTTGTATTGACAGCAAGCTTCAAAACTTCATATGTCAAATTTTCTGAAGGTGTTAACATCATAGACATTTTTTTTACACTTAAAAATGTCGAATTTCGGGAAGTTTTAATTCATTACTTTATTTTGAAGTAAAGTGCTGCTGAAAGTGATCATATACTTTGGAAAGCTTATGGTAAACATGCTCCATCTCAAGATACTTGTGAACGCTGGTTTAAACGCTTTAAAAGGGATGATTTCGATGTGAAAGACAAAGAACGTCCAGGTCAACAGAAAAAAGTTTGAAGACCAACAATTACAAGCATTTTTGGATGAAGATGCATGTCAAACTCAAAAACAACTGGCAGAAAGATTAAACGTTGGCTCAGCAAACAATTTCCGATCGTTTACAAGCAATGGGAACGATTTTAAAGGAAGGAAAATGGGTGCCACATCAACTGAACGAAAGACAAATGGAAAACCGAAAAGTCGTCAGTAAAATGTTGCTTCAACGGCACAAAAGAAAGTCTTTTTTGCATCGAATTGTGACTGGCAATGAGAAGTGGATTTATTTTGAGAATCCCAAACGCACGAAATCATGGGTAGATCCAGGTCAACCGTCAACATCGACTGCAAGACCAAATCGCTTTAGAAAAGACAATGCTCTGCGTTTGGTGGGATCAGGAAGGTGTGGTGTATTATGAGCTTCTCAAACCAGGTGAAACCGTTAATACTGATCGCTACCGACAACAAATAATCAATTTGAACCACGCTTTGGTCGTAAAGCGACCAGAACGGGCCAGAAGACACGGCAAAGTAATTTTGCTTCATGATGACCCACCATCACACACTTCAAACCAGTTAAAGACACGTTAAAAGATCTTGCCTGGGAAGTATGAACCCACCCGCCATATTCACCAGACCTTGCGCCTTCAGATGACCACTTGTCCGATCGACGGCACACGCACGTTCTGAGCAGCACTTCAAAACGTACGAAGTGGGAAATCGGGTCTCAGAATGGTTTGCCTCAAAACAAGAAAAGTTCTATTGGGACGGTATCCACAAATCACCTGAAAGATGGGGAAATGTGTAGCTAGTGATGGACATTACTTTGAATAAAGCACCTGTGATGTTTCTCTTGGAATTATCGTTTTCTTTGATTACTGAATCCGAATTATTAACCAGTATCTGAATTATTAACCGGTAAAGGGTCAATCTAAATTATTAACCAGTACCGGTTAATATTGCGGATACCAGTTAGTAATGTGGATTAACCATTTACCGGTTAATAATGCAGATACCAGTTAATCAAAGATTTTGTAATCTATGAAAACACGATAATTTCGAGAGATACATCAAAGGTGCTTTTATTCAAAGTAATGTCCATCAATAGCTACCCATATGCCCATCTTTCAGGTGATTTGAGGGGTGCCCGCCCCAATAGAACTTT